TAGGTTCGGTCATTAAAACACTCATTTCCTAGGATTTTGGGTGTGGTCATAAAGAAGACAGATAAGATTTTTGAGTATGGCTGTAAGACTTGGAATAACCAGAAGAACCTTGTTTGAATGAGAATTTAATTTGTAGGATGAATTTATGAGAACGCTAGATGTGGCAGTGCAAGGAAGTGGGGAGAGGGACAGCTTAAGCTGGAAAGGCTCCTCTAGTGGTGCTTATACTTCTGGAAGCTGTTGCCTCAGCGTAGTGAACGTGGTAAATGAAAAGGACCACTTATAGAGTTTAGCCTGGGATAACTGCGCACCACTAAAGGTTCAAGCATTTGTTTGGAGAACTGTGCTTGGAAGAATTCCTGCTTATGTTGAGCTGACCAAAAGGGGGGTTTCCTTGAGATCTCGATTGTGTGTTTTGTTTCAAGAGGAGAGGGAGACTGTTATTCACGTGCTATGACAGTGTAAGGTAGTCTGGAGATTATGGACCAGGCGGTACTCGCATTGGAACCCTAATTTTGTGATGCCAGGAAATATCAGATCATTTCTCTTATCATCGGGTGCCCAATTGATTGGTCAACCTTATAAGCAAATATGGAATATGGGTTTTTTCGAATTATGTTGGTCGAGATGGATCTTCAGAAATAACATTCTGTTCAATAAAAAAAGATTGAGCGAAGATTAACCTTTAAATCGGCTACCTTGAGGACAGGTTTCTTGTGTGAGTGTAAATGGTCGCATCTTTATCTATCCACTCTTGATTTCCTTAACCGCACTAATTCCTTTGTTTCTTTTTTAAGCGGAATAGAACCACATTACTTTGAGTTTACTAGTCGGTAGCCTGTGCCCTGTTGTCGAGGCGTCGACTAATGTGGGTGTGGAGCTCAAAATGGGAACGATATTTCTTTAAGGCTAAAGAAAAGAAATTGATTTTGTCAATATGTGAGAAGGTCGATTTCGGTTTGATGAGTGGTAAATGTGTGGATGGACTATTTCTGCTCCAACAGTGCAAGCCTCATGTGAGAAGGGGGTGACCTAGATGGATCCTTCAAAGTTTGATTGTAGATTTACATTGGTTTTATAAATGTAAGTAGGTAATCCTGTCTTATCTCGCAGAGGTACAGTTGAAGACGATTGGATCGGTAGTAATGTTAGATTAGAAGTGCAATGCAAACTGAAAACGTTGCAGATTATCTGTTTTACCAACAGTGGGTCATCTAGACTTATCTAATAGGCTATTGATCTCTTTTGAGTGTGGAGTACGGTATGGTTATGCCTGTCAAACTTGAGACTCGGGTGTTGTTGATCTCGGGATGGTATGCAACTGTGTGCTCCTAAATTGTATTATGCTTTGTTGTTGGTTTTGTGGGTAGTCAATTGATAGTACTCCGTTTGAGATTTAATTGATATGTATCATCGTCGATTTGAGTCGCTCTTTTATAACTCAATTTTGAGTTATTATTGAGTTATTAAATTTAAGTCGAGTTGTGTTTTCAAGTTTATGTTTAAATTTAATTGTAAATATTTATAATATTCGGATACTATTTGATTCCAATTTAAATGACATTTTATAACCATATATAAATGCATATATATTTTTTTATTTTTGTCCATATATGATATACATATACCATAGAGAGTCGAGTGACTCATTTTAAACTTGAAATTCAATCCACCAATTACTATTTTTTTCAAATTGAGTTTATAAAAATTATAATCTAGAGTTAATTTGAATCGAATTATTTCAAATTGAATCAAATTATTTTAAAACAAAATAAATTAAAAAATAATTTTCAAATTAAATCAAGTTTTATATATATATTGTGCTCTTCACACACTTCTCTCTTGACCGACTGTCAGCATTGGAATGCTAATTTGACCTTGTTGGGAATTAACACTAAATAAAATTCAATGTTTGTCTCCATGTAGAAACCAAAAGATCAATATATATATATATATATATATATGGCGAAGGAGGCACATGGTGTAGCATGTGCTTCGGCACTTATCGTCAAACTCGTCTCCATATCTGCATGCAAATTAAATTCAGAGCCACAGTTTTAATCATGACTCTTATCTATGTTCATTTATGTGTATTTCAGTGAAGACTTGGTTAAAAAATCAAAACCTAGGTAACTTCTTCTAAATATAATGTTAAAACTAGGCTTAAATGTTTGTTTGGGTAATCGTTTTTCAATTTACACTTTTAAACCATTTTAACTTTGGGTAAATTCACATTTAGTACCTAGACTATTAGTTTTAGTACTTAAACTTTTAAATTTTTTTTTAAACTACACTTAAAGTTTGGTTTTTTGTAGTCACCTGTTAAAAATTCAACGTTAAGTTTTGAAGAAAAAAATTAAAATTTCCGGTACAAAAATTGATCAAAACTTATAATTTAGTTACTAAACACATTAAGTTTTTAACAACGAGGTACTAAAATGAAATAAAAACTAAACGTTAGGTATAATTTTAAAAAATTAAAAGTTTAGGTATTAAAACTAATAATTTATATATGAAATGCATAGTTTAACCTTTAATATTTTTTTAATTAAAATAATTATTATTAGATAAAAATATTAATTAATTGACTATTAATGTAAGTTATTGATATGATATTTACATTGTTTGAATTATTGACTTGTCATGTATCTTCTATTCAAAATGATGATGTGTCATGTGTCTAAAGATGACATATGAATATAATTTCGTGGATTTTGTATCGTACCCGCTTTAATTGGGGCGTGGATGAGTATAAGTTTAGTGGGTAGTACGCGAGTGTAGATATAGAAAGCTATACCCGCCGTGGGTAATGGGTAGATGATGGGTTTGAGACCTTACACATCCCGTATCCGCCTGCCCACTAACTACCCACCATATAAAATTTGGCACATTATGAATTTAATTATAATTTTATAGACTATTCTATAAATTTTAAAATTTTATTGGACATGAATTGTAGTTTAACCAAATGTTAGGGTATAAACATTTTTAGAATTGAAGATCGTCATTTATTCTATCTCAAATTGGCGAGTATGGGTGGATATAGACGAATGTATTCAGTTGGATAGTGAGTATATGGATAGATTTGAGAATGTATATACGTGAGCAGGTGTGGATTTAAAAATTTTATCTGTCGTAGGTGGTAGGTAGGTGGTAGATACAAAACTATTAGGTGGGCATGAGAACGGGGGAAGGGATAGTCGCACCTGCTCCACCCGTTTGTCATCACTACATGTGTCACATCACTCAAATTAATAATAGTATATATTATGGCATTTAATGTGATATTAAATATGATACATCATCTAATATGGTGATATGATATGTGTAATGTCATCAAGATTATAATGTAGTATGTGTCATGTTATTAGGACTATAAAGGAGTATATTCGAGTTGAGTTTGAATATTGTTAAGCTTGATTGGACTTGAAAAGTTTAAAATTGACTTTGACTTTGACTTGAAAATCGTGAGTTTTAAATTTTCAAACTCAACTTAAACTCAAAATCAAAAATTAAAACTTGAATATGTACTTTAATTAAATAAAAATCATATATTACATTTTTCTAAAGTAGTTTAAGTTGATCACTTCAGCTCGTTTAGAACTCAATTCAAGTTTGAGCGAATTTTGATCAAGGCAAACTCGAATAACTTATAATCTATATTGTTTCATTTATAGCCTTATATATCACATGAGATGATGACATGATATCACTGATTAGACATATATAAAAATATCATGTTAACAATATATATTAACCACTAATTAATTAATAATTTTTATTTAATAGCGGTCATTTTAATCAAAAGTTAATATATCAAAATTAAAATACACCAAAGAAAAAGAAATAAAAAATAAAGTATTTAATAGAATAAATATTGAGGCCAATTTTATATTTTCACTTTTTCCTAATGGGAAATGTACGTGTGATGGAGAAAGAAAGGAAGAAATGATAAAATATTTGAGGCACCTGCCTGATCACATCATTTGTAATTTTATAATTTTAGTTAACGAGAGTCGTCAATTTTAAAATAATTAATAATATCTTATTCACATTTAAGAAAAAAAATAAAAAAAATTACTTTGAAAAAATTATATAAATAAATATTATTGATTGATACTATAAATCAGGCGGGTGAGCTGGAATCATCTAATAATTTTACAAAACAAGATCCCACATTACTTGTGGATTGAGAGAGTGTCGGTTTGTTTAAAACGAAGAGTTTAAAATTGTAGCAAATCCCTCCCCTGCTTTATAAACAGTTCCTAGAGTTTCCCTCACTCTGTACATTCACTAAGCAATAAAAAAGGGGCTTAATGGCAATATTCCCATTCTCCCTCCTCCGTTTTCTCCTCACCAGTTCAAGACCCCGACCAAGTTGAGCAACAAGTCAATGAGTACATTTCGATTTCTTTCATCAACGGCCACCCCATTTTCATTCATATTTTTAATTTAATTTTCTGTACTGCAGGAGCATAACAAATGCTACCATGGCGAAGAGGAGGAGCTCGTGGTTTCTCTCCTGTGGAACCAGCAATCCGATCGACGATTGATGGCGGTGCAACCCTCATTGGGAAAAGAACCGCCGGAGGCTAGCCGATTGCGCCATCGGGTTCGGCAAGCACGCCATTGGTGGGAGGGACGGGAAAATATATGTGGTGACGAACTCCTGTGATCACGACCCGATTAACCCTAAACCCATAACCCTAAGATATGCCGCCATTCAAGGCGAACCGGAATGGATCATTTTCGCCCGTGACATGAAGATCAAATTGGAGGAGGAATTGCTTATGAACTCGTTCAAGACCATAGACGGTTGAGACGCCGACGTCCACATTGCCGGCGGGGCGTGCATTACTGTTCAGCACGTGACCAACGTCATCATCCACGGTAATCAACATTCACGATTGCAAGAGAGGAAGGAATGCTTATGTGAGGGACTCCCCTCCCCTAGTCATTACGGTTTGAGGACGATATCGGACGGCGACAGGGTGTCGATATTCGGAGGTAACGGTGTTTGGGTGGATCATTGCTCGTTGTCGAACTGCAACGAAGGGCTGATCAACCCCATTCACGGCTCCACCGCCATCACCATTTCGAATAACTACTTGACACATCATAAAAAGGTCATGCTATTGGAACATAGTGACACTTATAAACCAGATAAGAACATGCAAGTCACCATTGCCTTTAATCACTTCGGAGAAGGGCTTGTACAAAGAATGCCAAGGTGAAAAAAATACCCACAATCCAGTAATTTTTTTTAACATTTTACTATCCAGATGTAGGCATGGATATTTCCACGTGGTGAACAATGATTATACGCATTGAGAAATGTATGCAATCGGAGGCAGTGCCGATCCTATAATCAACCGCCAAGGCAATAGATTCCTTGCACCAAATGATGCAGACAACAAAGAGGTCCAAAAAATCAAGTCCATTTATTTGTTCCGATAGGCAAAAGGGTAAGCTTTTAAACCAACATATACATACATTATATGTGCTACAAATTTCAGGTGACAAAACATGAGGATGCACCACAAAGCCAATGGAAGCATTGGAATTGGAGATCGGAAGGGGATCGATGTTGAACGGAGCGTTCTTCACCGCATCCGGAACCGGAGCGTCGTCGAGTTACGCCAAGGTGTCGAGCTTGGAAAGGTATATTTGATATTTAAATAATTTTATTTTCAAAATCATCTTTTTAAAAGTATATTTTAAAAGGAAAGTCTCTATTGACACGATGATTATGTCATTTAGAGTTAAAATCAGGACCTGTTATTACTTATTAGGGATAATACATTGAGTAACTGTTCAGATCTCTTATCTTTTATAGAATTCTTAAGTTTTTATTATTTTTTATTTTCATAATTGAGTCTTTTAGTTTTCTTGGATTTTATTTTTTATCTTTATAATTGAAGTACATAATTTTTTAATCTCACTTTTTATCTTTATAATTGATGCCCTTAATTTTTTAATCCCATTTTTTTACATTTATAATTGATGATTTTAAATTTTTCAATCACACTTTGTACCTATATAATTGAACTCCTATTTTTTCAATCACTTTTTTACCTTTATAACTGAGGCTCCTAATTTTTTAATCTCACTTTTTATCTTTATAATTGAGGGTCTAATTTTGTCCAATCCCTTTTTTACTTATATAATTTAGGCCCTTAATTTTTTTTCAATCTAACATTTTACGTTTAAAATTGAGGGCCCTAATTCTCACTTTTTACCTTTATAAGTGAGTTTCCTAATTTTTTTAAAGAAAAAAAAATTTCAATGACCGAAAATGCCTTATAATATACAATTTTAACCAACTTTTTTTTGGATTTGCGAAAATGACCAACAAATTCTCAAAGCGAACTCCAATTTTGCAACTCAGTTTCCAAATTTGCAACGCAAATATGTAAATCGCATTGCGATTTTCCAATTCGCAACGCGAATCTGTAAATCGCAACGCGAATCTGTAAATCGCAACGCGAATCTGTAATTCGCAACACATAAGTCAAATTCGCAAAGCGCGTTTATTTTCGCAACACGAATTTTATTTTCGAATTCGAAACACAATATTAGTTTCGCAACACAAATGTAAACAGTATAATCTTAAATCATAACCTAAAACCCTAAATCACAACTCAATCCCATCTCCATCTCACACTCTCTACGATGACATCCGTCCCCATCTCTGACGAAATTTGTCCCCATCTCCAGCGAAATCCGTCTATCTCCATCTCTCAGAGCCACCCTCACAACCATTCACGGTCAGAAATGGAAAATCAACCACCGAGGGTTAGTTTTTTTAATTATTTTTATTTTGAATTTTTTGTATTATTATTAGATTTTTCATATTTAAATTGATGATAAATTTACTGGTAATTTCAGTAATAGATTAACCATTTCACTTAGATTACTTAGTAAATTCATTCGGTTGCTGCCAATACTGTTAAACTGTTTAGTATTTAACTCTGTGAAGTTAGTATTTGTCTTTGTTTTGTCTTTTGGTTGAAGTAATACAATTCATTCAAGTTTCAATTTGCAGAAGACTATTTGAAACTTAAATTCGCAACATGAAAATGAAAATCGCAACGCGATTTTAGTTTCGCGTTGCGATTTTAAGTTTCTGAAACTATTCTTCTTTTGCAAATTGAAACTTGAATGAATTGCATTACTCCAACCAAAAAAACAAAGACAAATATTAACTTCACAGTGTTGTGAATTTAAGTTTCAATAATAAACTACTACTCTTTATGTTGTCCTTGAACCTGCACTAAACCTATATGTTGTCCTTTTAAATGTTTTTATAAGTCCTTACTTCAGGAATGTTAACTGATGCATTTTGTGAACTATGATAGAATAATGACTTGGGTGAATACCGTGCAAGTTTGAAACATATTTGGCTTTGTTTTCACTGTTTAATATCATGTCTGTTTATAGTGTATAATTTGTAGTTTTTGGTATATCTAACTTGGTATGTTTATTGTTTTTGTAGAATTTTTTTTCAGCTTCATTGACCTTAAGGAATAAATTAAGCATAGCTACTACAATTGCGTCGACGCTTACACTTGTACAAAGAAAATTGTTTGAGGATACTTGCTTCGGGCTATGGCTGAAAGTACAACATCCGGGTGGAGATGCTATGTTGACCCATTTGTTTCTTCAGACCATGACTAACGATCTACCCGAGAGGATACAACGTGGTAATGAAGAGATATGGTTTTATTTTCCTCCGGCGTATACTTGTTTTGGGTGGGAGGAGTTTTACTTAATCACTAGTCTACGCTTTGGACACGATATTATAAGGCATTTTCGGTCACTGAAGTTATTTTCTCTTTTTTAAATTATACTTTTTACTTTTATAGTTTAAGCCCATAATTTAATCAGAATTTAATCATTTTTCTATGATCTATTAATATAATATTAAATTACTTATTCAAAGTAATAGAATAGACTTTCGTTTTATAAGGGATCATATTTTAGTTTCGCTCAGGACGCCAATAATGTCCAAGACAGCTCTAGTTAAATTGAGAAAAATATAAAAATATTAGATAAAAAATTATACAAATTTTATTAAAAAAATATTAAAGGTACGTAATTGTATGAGTGCAAGTACAAGCTAGATGATAGCGGTGGTAATGCTTGTATATTCACCTTATTTTCAATCAGTCAATGAGCACATGTATAGAGCACTATATTTAAACACTTTAAACATCCCATTATAAACAATGTGAGATTTTTTTTATCATGATATTCTCAAATCTCATATTGTTTATATACGAAATTTTTAAAGCGTTTATGTATGAATTTTTTAAAGCGTTTAAATATAGTGCCCTACACATCTGTTCATTAAATGATCGAAGACAACCTATACATGTAAAGGATCGAATGTTCCCAACTATTTTGCAACTTTCTGTCTCTCTCATCTTCCTCCACTGCCTTCCCTATCTTCAACGAAATCAAATCAACCTTTTTTTTTACAACCAAAAAAAATAGAAAAGATAAAGCCTGCATTAAATGCAAATTTGGAAGAAATGCTTCGACCGGAATGCCCCCGCAATTAATTTGAACAAAGAATAGTATTAACCACCAGGACCAACAACAACGTGTAGTTGATAAATATGCATGGTTTTCCTGAATCCTCGCAAATGTACGTGAACTTCGAAGCCGTGGTTTATGCTGGAGCATTGCCCTAATATAGGCCGAATTCAACCCCATATATACCTCTCCCACTCCCTCTCGATAATTGTGCGGGTATAAATCTAACCTTCAGCACCACATTTCTTGTAAATTACTGCTAGTTGTTCTCCTACAGACACCGTCGAGACAATCCCAACCCGAAAAGAAACAGTAATGGCACGCCAAATCTTTTTTTTTTTTTTTTTTTGCTTTGGTCTTAATTGCTTTAACCGGGTTGGTTTCCCCCACCAATGGTGCTTCTAGTAAACCAATTGCCCCCACCAGTGCATCCACCGTACCAGATGTTAATATCATCGGCACCATTGATGACACAGGTGTATCATCTCCGAATGCCGCTGTTGCTGCTCCTCTTGGCAGTGAGCTGGATGCTAAAAGATTTGCTCCTACTCCTAGTGATGCAATCACTGTTGGTGTCTCAGTCATACAGGCAGCCACCGCCGCTGGGGCGGTTGTCATAGCTGGCTACCTTGTGTTCGAAATTAGCTTCGCTTAATGAAAGAGTCGTAAACCTCAAAAAGCAGACTTCTTAGTATCTCAAATTTGATACTTTCATACGGCAGCCGCTTGTACGTTTATATGAACTAACAGAAGAATATACAAGTTCTTTTCTTCCATTTTTCTTTTTACCTTTCATAACGAAAACGGTAAAATCGAATGTTCAAAAATTGGACTAATATTACCAGAGACAAAAAAGACTAATATCAATTACAAGAATGTCAGAAAACAGATTCTTAAATGCTTTATAACAGAGAATATACCTAAACTTTGTAAAAAAATCCCTATCACCTAAGTAAGCTAAAACACTATAAAAGGAATTCAGGTATTCAGAATTTTTTTACCCCAACTATTTGATGCATGAGTGTTGACAGGGCATGATGGAAACAAGTTTAGCTGTGCACTCCTAGGATGCTGTGATGACTCTTTTTAACTCCAGATCGAAGACTGAATGAAACAACTTCCCTTTATGAACCACTGCGATTGAAGACCGGTTGCCATGTTTTATACCACCTCTTACCAAAAAATACAAAGAAGCACCAATCAGATACGGAATGGACTTAACTTGACGTGCAAGATGAAAGTGGAAATAGTAAGTCACAAACTCGAGAGCATTATCATAATCAGCTGAAAAATGGGGATTTTCCTCAATACATGCCCTTAAAAACAGGATTTGTTCGGCAAATGCTGGCTCCATATTCCTCATATTCAGCTTTTGTATGACATGCCTGCACATTGCACAGGTTAGGAGACTTTCAGCCAAAATCCAAATTTTAGGTTGAAGTTGAACTACACAATTCTAATGGAAAGCGTATCGGGCAATTGACAAATCAATCAAGCAAGAACTGTGACAAACTATAAATGCTAAAATCAATGCCATTCAGCAGCCGATAAAGAGAAAAGAGACTAAGATGAGTATAGAGTGAAGATTCATACCGCAAAAAATTCAGGTGTTGATGCAAGTACAGAACCTCCAAACCATACCGCAAATCTTTGGATAGGATGACTGACTACATTAACTTCCACGGGTTGTGACTGGAAGGTGAAGATCCAAACAGGATTAGCAGTTAGCTTTTAAAAATACACAACAGGATGGAAATACAGGAAAAAATATCCTTACTTTTATTTCCCCACCAGCTCGAGTATCAGACGCAAGAACTCGGGCATCTACAATCTTTTTCAGATCTCGCTGCAACCTTCTGTGGAAGTCTTTGAACATGGTTGATCCACCAGATAATACTATGTTCTGAAAAATGTTTTGATAGTGAAAAGAGAGCATTAAATTATTATAGAGATATATGACAAAACAAGTGCAACAATCATTATCTTCTCAATTCAGTCATTAGTCTTATGTATTTAACTTCAAGCTTTCCTTGATTTTTGGTATCAACAATGTAACCAACAGTTG